TAAGATCCTTGAACTTTTGTGGGATTTCTTTTTTAATAGAGTTAAATATGAAACTAAATATACATAGCTTCTTGATCACCATGCCCATTGTCTGGGAAACATCCTGAGGATCCTAAAGGAACAGAGGTCTGTGTTTTCGATGGGGAAAATACAGTGTTTACAAAAGCTTGTAGGTTTGTTTTGTTCTCTTGGCTTTTTTATTGCTTTGGCTTCATAGGAGATTGGGTATATGAGAAGCATGTATTATAAAACTCAGAATGGTTGTAAATGGTGAATAGTAATTCCAGCAGAAATGCAAATCATTTAAATTTATAAGGTAGGATTAAAATAACTATAGGTTAACCCACTGGTGATGGCAGGATAGCTCCAAAAATTTCAGCCATATATATTGTGAACCACAGAAAGGTGTATATTGGAAATTAGGGCAGGAAATTTAACTAACATTTCTTGAGACTCCAATATGTGCCCAGTACTATAATTTTTATATATATATATATATATATATATATATATATATATATATATATATATTTTAGATGGAATCTCACCCTGTCACCCAGGCTGGAGTGCAGTGGCATGATCTCAGCTCACTGCAGCCTCCACCTCCTGGGTTCAAGCAATTCTCTGCCTCAGCCTCCCGAGTAGCTGGGATTACAGGCACCCTCCACCACACCTGGCTAATTTTTTTTTTTTTTTTTTTTTTGAAATGGAGTCTCACTCTCTTTCCCAAGATGGAGTGCAGTGGCATGATCTCGACTCACTGCAACCTCCACCTCCCAAGTTCAAGTGGTTCTCCTGCCTCATCCTCTTGAGTAGCTGGGACTACAGGCATGTGCCACCACACCTGGCTAATTTTTGTTTTTTTTGGTAGAGACAGGGTTTCACCATATTGGCCAGGCTGGTCTCAAACTCCTGATATCATGATCTGCCTGCCTCGGCCTCCCAAAGTGCTGGGATTACAGGCGTGAGCCACTGCACCTGGACTGTTATATATATTTTACAGGGTTTTCTTATTCAGTCTTAGCAACAAGACAAAAGATAGTCACTAGTATCCTCACATTACAGATAAAGAAACAATTTAATCAAGTAATTAAATTGGCCAGCTCACACAAATAAGAAAACATCTCTAGCTGACCACCAATTCTGTAGGCTTCCCATGACAGTCATGCTGCCCCAGTGGGTATATCCTGCTTTCTGCTTACATGGCTTGTGCAGGGGAACACCTCTTTTTAAAACAATCAGATCTTTTGAGACTTACTCATTTTCATGAAAACAGCACAGGAAAGACCCACCCCCATAATTCAGTCACCTCCTACCAGGTTCCTCCCACAACACATGGGAATTGTGGAAGGTAAAATTCAAGTTGAGATTTGAGTGAAGACACAGCCAAACCACATCATTTCACCCCTGGCCCCTGCTAAATCTCATGTCCTCACATTTTAAAACCAATCATGTCTTCTTAACAATCCCCCAAAGTCTTAACTCATTTCAGTATTAACTCAAAAATGTACAGTCCAGTGTCTCATCTGAGACAAGACAAGTTCCTTCCGCCTATGACCCTGTAAAATCAAAAGCAAGTTACCTACTTCCTAAATACAGTGGGGCTACAGGCATTGGGTAAATACAGCCATTCCAAATGGGAGAAATTGGCCAAAACAAAGGGGCTGCAGGCCCCATGCCAAGTCCAAAATCCAGTAGGGCAGTCAAATCTTAAAGCTCCAAAATGATCTCCTTTGACTCTATGTCTTACATCCAGGTCACACTGATGCAAGAAGTGGGTTCCCATGGTCTTGGGCAGCTCCACCTCTGTGGCTTTGCAGGGTACAGCCTCCCTTCCAGCTGCTTTCACAGCTGGCATTCAGTGTCTGCAGCTTTTCCAGGAGCACAGTGCAAGCTGTCAGTGGATCTATTGTTCTGGGGTCTGGGGGAGGATGGCCCTCTTCTTCTAGCTCCACTAGATGGGCCCCAGTGGGGCCTCTGTGTTGGGGCTCTGACCCCACATTTCCCTTCCACACTGCCCTAGCAGAGGTTCTCCTTGAGAGCTCCACCCCTGCAGCAAACTTCGGCCTGGACATCCAGGCATTTGCCTACATCCTCCGAAATCTAGGCAGAAGGTCCCAAACCTCAATTATTGATTTCTGTGCACTTGCAGTGCAAGCTGCCAAGCCTTGGGGCTTGCACCCTCTGCCATGAGAACAGCACAGGAAAGACCCACTTCCATAATTCAGTCATGGCTCTATGTTGGCCAATATCAGCCATGGGTGGAGTGGCCAGGATGCAGGGCACCAAGTCCCTAGACTGCACACAGCAGAGGGACCCTGGGCCTGGTCCATAAAACCATTTTTTTCTCCTAGGCCTCAGGGCCTGTGATGGGAGGGGTCACCATGAAGACTCGTGACATGCCCTGGAGACATTCTCCCCATATTGCCCTGGGGAGTAACATTTGGCTTCTTGTTACTTATGTAAATTTCTGCAGCTGGCTTGAATTTTGCCTTAGAAAATGGGATTTTCTCTTTTATTGCATTGCCAGGCTGCAAATTTTTCAAACTTTTATGCTCTACTTCCTTTATAAAACTAAATGCCTTTAAAAGTACCCAAGTCACTGCTTGAATGCTTTGCTGCTTAGAAATTCCTTCTGCCAGAGGCTTAAATCATAACTCTCAAGTTCAAAGTTCCACAGATCTCTAGGGCAGGGGCAAAATGCCTCCAGTCTCTTTGTTAAAATATAACAAGTGTCACCTTTACTCCAGTTCCAAACAAGTTCCTCATCTCCATCTGAGAACATCTCAGCCAGGTTTTCATTATCCATATCATTATCAGCATTTTGGGCAAAGCTATTCAACAAGTCTCTAGGAAGTACCAAACTTTCCCACATTTTCCTGTCTTCTTCTGAACCCTCCAAACTGTTCCAGCCCCCGCCTGCTACCCAGTTCCAAAGTCACTTCCACATTTTTAGGTATCTACAGCAGCACCCACTCTATCGGTACTAATTTACTGTATTAGTCTGTTTTCACACTTCTGATAAAGATGTACCTGAGACTCAGCAAATAACAAAAGAAAGTTTTGTAAACTTTCCTTTTGGACTCACAGTTCCAAATGTCTGGAGAGACCTCACAATCATGGCAGAAGGTGAAAAGCACGTCTCACAAGGCGGCAGACAAAAGAGTGCTTGTGCAGAGGAATGCCTCTTTTTCAAACCATCAGATTTCATGAGACTTATTCACTATATGAGAACAGTGCCTGAAAAATCTGCCCCTATAATTCAATCACCTCCAACCAGGTTCCTTCCATGACATGTGGGAATTGTGGGAGTTACAATTCAAGATGAGATTTGGGTGGGGATGCAGCCAAACCATGTCATTCATTGAGTGACTTAAAATGACAGAAACTTATTGCCTCACAGGCTTGGAAGCTGGAAGTCAAGAAATCAAGGTGTCAGTAGGGCTATGCCCCTCTGAAATTCATAAGCAAATTATTCCTTGCCTATTAGCTTATGGAGGTTTACCAGCAGTCTTTGGTGTACCTTGGTTTGGCTCTTCAGATGGCCATCTTCTAAGGAACCAGTTATGTTGTGTTGGGGCCCATCCAACTCCAGTATGACCTTTTCTTAACTAATTACATCTGTAATGACTCTATTTTCAAAGAATGTCACATTCTGAGGTCCTAGTGGTAAGGACATCACATTTGTTTTTGAGGGAGGACATGCTTCAACCCATAACACCTTCCATGTTCCACCCCAATCAATACATCTTCCTTCTCAACAAAGAAACAAAGGATGTTTTAAATTCATAATAGCATCCCTGCCAAATCAGTGGTAGTGAGCAAGGAGATTGTGATGTATTCACTAAGAGGACTGTTACCTCTTCCATATTACAGATTAAGTATCCCTAATCCAAAATCCAAAATGCTTCAAAATTTGAAATTTTTGAGCAGTAACATAATGTTCAAAGGAAATGCTCATTAGATCACTTTGGATTTCAGATTTTTGGATTAGGGATACTTAACTAGGAAGTATATAATGCAAATATTCCAAAATAAAACGAAATCCTAAATAATTCTGATCCTAAGGATTTTGGATGAAGGACACTCCACCTGTACCTTATACCAATTCTTTTTTTCAAGTAGCTATTTTGTAGAAAGCCTTCAAGCACTCTTTAAAAAATCAGTATGGCTGTAAACAGTTGTATCTTTCTATTACAATCCTTGCTTTATGGTATCAGAGACCTCCTAGAGCTTAACCTTTCCCACTATATAGCATAATAGTATTGTCTTGGTCAGTTTTGTGCTGCTGTAACAGAACACCACAAACTGTGTAATTTATAATGAACAAAATTTATTGGCTCATGGGTATTAAAATCTGGGATTGAGAGGCTGGTGTTTGGAGAGGGTCTTCTTGTGGCCGTGTCATCCCATGGTGAAATGTAGAAGGGCAAGAGAGGAAGCAGGGTGGTGGGTAGGAGGGGAGAAAGGGAGAGAAAGGAAAAGTGGGGGAGAAAGACAGTCTGGGAGGCAGAGGGGAAAGTCTCACAAGATTATTTTATTTTTAGGTGGTGATGTTATGAATTCTAATATTAAGAAGAAAAGTTGTTGGTCCTTAGATCAAATTGACTGTATAGATTATGTACTTCAGTCTGATGTATGAAGACAAGAATTTCAGTGTCAAACACAAAATAACTATAAAGAATAAAGTTCTTTTGAGCACCATGTAATGCTGTCTAATTATAGTGGTATCCAGATTTTCACTGGAAGATACAGTATGTAGGCAGCTATGAAAGCAATTTTTAAGGCAAAATTTTACTTACTCTGCAAATATACTTCCCATAAATTAAAGGCAATTTTTAAAATTTCTTTAATTTTTGATTTGTAAAGAGGATAGGTCAGTAAATAATTTATCAAACTTGTGGCCTAGCACCATGGTGAATGCCAGAAAAAACTCGGCTTTATGAATAATTTTTCAAAAGGATTAATGAATGTATAATAAGTTTTCTTTCTTTTTCTAGCCAAGGACCCTTGTCATCCATTAGAGCAGTAATCAAGAGATGTAAGTTTGTTTTTTCCTTCTCTATATTTTCCTCTGTAATAATTTTAAGTGATGATTTAGATTTCCAGCAGGCGATTATTTTTGACGAATCTACAAAGAACCCAAGAGTAGCTTCTCCTAAGAAGTATTAAAGCATCTCAGACCAACCTAGTTTTCAGCTTATATTTATTGATATGACAGTTTCTCAGAACCATGTTTTTCTCTTTCAGAACAAAGCTGGGTTTTATTTTTTCTTAATCCCAAATTATAAAGCTATATAAAGCTGTTTTTTTTTAATTTGCCTATCTAGTTTCTGTGATCTAATATAAATTTTGTGTAATCATTTTCTAGAGTTAGGGACATCTTACAGGTTTAAGAAATCTTAAATCCTGGCCTGGCACAGTGTCTCATGCCTGTAATTCCAGTACTTTGGGGGGCCGAAGCGGGTGGAAGACCTGAGGTCAAGAGTTCAAGACCCGTCCAACCAACATGGTGAAACCCCATATCTACTAAAAATACAAAACCTTAGCCGGACATGTTGGCAGTGGCCTGTAATCCCAGCTATTCGGGAGGCAGAAGAATCACTTGCACCCGGGATCAGAGGTTGCAGTGAGCCAAGATCGCACCACTGCACTCCAGCCTGTGCAACAAGATCGAAACTCTGTCTCAAAAAAAAAAAAAAAAAGAAATATTAAATTCTGTTCCTTTTGGTTCATTTGTTTCCACAGGTACTCTTCACAATGTATTTTTTAACTGTGTAAGTGCTTATAAAGATGGACTTACACTACCACATCAAGACAGAAGTGCTAAGAGTAGAATTCCTATCAGAAAGGAACATTTCTACTTTCTGTCCTTATCTTTTGGTTAAGACTTCAAAACTTGCTATTAGTGTGGTATTTTAACACTTTTTTTAAATAAAAGGCTCTGGAAAGGTCTCTTTAAAAATAGAACATGTATTGCCTGTGATAGAAAAGGATAAATATAGAATTTTAGATGTTCTTTCCATTATTTGAGCTGAGGTTACCAACCTGAGGAGAATGTGCCCTATATTTAGAAACATAACTTTTTTTTTTTTTTTTTTTAAGACAGAGTCTCTTTCTGTCACCCAGGCTGGAATACAAGTGGCATGCAGCCTCCACCTCCTGGACTCAAGCAATTCTCCTGCCTCAGCCTCTCGAGTAGCTGGGATTACAGGCACCCACCACCACAGCCAGCTAATTTTTATATTTTTAGTAGAGATGGGGTTTCATCCCATTGGTCAGGCTAGTCTCAAGTGACTTGCCTGCCTTGGCCTCCCAAAGTGCTAGGATTACAGGCATTAGCCACCCTGGCGGGTCCAATAATTAGTAATATTTAGTGTGAATTTAGGATATTGACAGGTGATGAAGAACATGCATTTGAACAATTCCAGTGAAAATTTTACAAGGTGACAATACAGAAAAATACACCATGTTTCCCCACTCCATTTTTTTCTTTATTGGTGAACTATAAATATATGGGAATGCTATGATATATGATGAAGAGAATTTCAGATGTAAAAAGGAAAAATTCTTGATAGCTTTTCATGCCTTATAACCCATGGGGTGGCGGTGGCAGGAGATGACAGGCAGAGAGATAACTTAAGTACAAAATTAAGTTCTAGAACTTGGGCAAGAATTTATTGGCAGGAGATATAACTTAGAATAATCATGGTTGTAGGCAAAATCCTGGAAGTAGCCAAACATGTAGGGAGAAAGTATACAGGACAGGAAAGATGACAAGGGATAGAATCTTGGAGACACTGATATCTGAGGACAAGCTATGCCTTCAAGGGGCATAAGGCAAAAACGCATGACCTAATGAACCCAGCCCTGCTGTGAAAGGCCCCCTTTCACTGAGTCATTTCTGTGGGCTCCTGCCTTTGTTCCCTGACTTCTTAACTCCCCTGGATTTCAGGACTTTTTTGTTAGGGAAACACAACCTGTGTCTGACTTCCCATAGATACTTCAAGATGGATCTTGCTCACCCAGGGGCCCTGTGCTGGGCAAGGTGCAGCTAAGACGTGGGCATTAAAAGCTGAAAAAGGATGGTCAGACTAATAGAAGGAACAGGAGACAGCTGTATTTTAGAGGTCAAAGGAGAATATTTTAAAAGGAACAAGCAAATTACCAATAGCTCTTAATACTACAGCCAGGCCAAGCAAAAGGTGCTGAGAACAGGTCAACTACTGCAAATTTGTTTAATCTGAGGAAGTGAGAATGAGATATATGAGCGGATAGTTGAGAAATTTGCAGAAAGAGCATGAGACAACACATGAAAATCTGTGGTGAAAACCAAAAGTGTTTGTAGCTATTAATCTTGTTCAGCACTGACAGAAAGTGTCAGTTTTTCTAGAAGGATCAAGAGAGAAAAGAAAGATTTCATAGATGAGTGAATGTGAAAAAAATCAGAGAAGGAGAGGGGAAAGCAGTGATTCTCAAAGAATGTGCAGAAGGGTATCTGTAAGTATAACTGCGAGACCCCTCCATGCTCTGCAGCCGCAGCACCACTCTGCTGCCAGGGGGCCTGCTACCAGTGACCTCTCGTGTGAATGGGCAGGAGCAAGTTAAAATCACTAATTTAAAACAGTGTAAATCAACTACTGAATTGCCTCTTAAGTATTATTCATACTTTAAAATCAATCCTCATCAAAGTAGCAAATTGATTTTGCAAAATCGTTTTTAGATTTTTTAAAACTGTTGTTTAAAACTGCAGACAGCCAGGCACAGTGGCTCACGCCTATAATCCTAGAACATTAGGAGGCCAAGGTGGGCAGATCACTTGAGGTCAGGAGGTTGAGACCAGCCTAGGCAACATGCCAAAACCCTGTTTCTATAAAAAATACAAAAATTAGCCAGGTGTGGTGGCACATACCTGTAGTCTCAGCTACTCTGGGGGCTGAGGCAGGAAGGTCGCTTGCAACAGGGAGGTCAAGGCTGCATTAAGCTAATATTGCGCCACCGTACTCCAGCCTGGGTGACAGACCGAGACCTTGTCTCAAAAACGAAATAAAACAAAACAAACAAAAACCTTCAAGCAGGTTTTTTGACTGTGGTTATGTGTGTGGATATCCTGGTCTGCAGAGACAACTCTTTGCAGTAACATATTTCTTTACTCTCTGAAACTGTGGTTCATTAACTTTCCTTTTCCATTTAAGTGTGCATAGCAGGGAAAAACAGTGGCATGGCAAGACTGTCATGCTCCTGAATTCCTTTTAAAGTTTGGGCAACTAGGTTCACTCTTTTCTCTTCCTTTCCTCTTCTATAACCCCTTCTTTTTTTCCCTTAGCACTCATGAATAGTACACAGCAAAAATGCCCCGTGGAAGAGGTATGTTTGTGACAATGACATGAAGTCTTTTAAAAGTGGTATGTCTGCTGATTCCAGCATTAGTGATGGTGGTGATATGATTATAGCAAACTTGAGCAGGCCTCTCACTTAATGAAACTGTTCTTACCAATCAGACAAACCATGCAGAGCTCTAGCATCTCTGTCAGCCTGGTTTACTCTTGATAAAAATGTTGACAGTCAGTAACATCAGTTGATGATGTAACTATGAGGACATCCTCCAAGTAGAGACCCAGTGGTTTTGGTTTCAGATGTTAGAATCTGGGCTTTGGCAACCCAGCAGAGGTTCACCTGTCACAGCTTCAATCCAGCCTAAATTTCATTTCCACCTTCCACCTCCATCCCTGCCTCCCCGAGCTTTGACAGCCTCCTTGTTCAGAGAGAAGCAGAAGTTAATAGGAGTGGGGGAAAAGATCTATGCTTCCAATCTTTTCAAATAAGAAGAATTGAGCAAGTTGAGTATTACAGAGATATGAAAGCAACTGTTTAAAATAGTTTATATATGAAACAAATTTCCTTTGTGCACAAATTTTTATAGTGTTTGTGGAATTTTTTCCCCAAAGGCATGTTTAGATGTAGAATTTTTTCCCCAAAGGCATCTTTAGAATATGTTCCTTGAAAAATGGAGGTAATAGTCTCTGTTAAATAAAAATTGGCATCATATGTGACATGTTCCAGATTATCTGATTAAGACTTAGTTTGCTTTATAAAGCAAAATTTGGGCCAGCTGCAGTGGCTCACGCCTGTAATCCCAGCACTTTGGGAGGCCAAGGCAGGTGGATAACCTGAGGTTGAGAGTTTGAGACCAGCCTGACCAACATGAAGAAACCCCATCTCTACTAAAAATACAAAATTAGCTGGGTGTGGTGGCGCTTGCCTGTAATCCCAGCTACTCAGAGGCTGAGGCAGGAGAATCACATGAACCCAGGAGTCAGAGGGTGCAGTGAGCCAAGATCACACCATTGCATTCCAGCCTGGACAACAAAAGCAAAACCCTGTCTCAAAACAACAACAACAAAAACAAAAAAGTAAAATTTGGGAAAATAATTTAAACTATCAAGCTTAAGGACTTGAGTTTGAGACTTAAGAAAAAAGTCAGTGCTGCATATACAATAATATGTGCTGTAAACATGTTTATAAAAGTGATTTGAACACATTTTGCATTTATTCTTTTTTTCTTTTCTTTTAATAGTAATTTAAGTAAGAAAAGGCTAGACTCGTGTCTGTAATCATGCCTGTAATCTCAGTACTTTGGGAAGCCCAGGCAGGAGGGTCACTTGAACCCAGGAGTTTGAGACCAGCAACATGGCAAAACCTCATCTCTCTAAAACATGCAAAAATTAGCCAGACATGGTGTCATGTTCCTGTAGTCCCAGCTACTTGAGAGGCTGAGGCAGGAGAATGACTTGAGCCTGGGAAGTTGAGGCTGCATTGAGCCCTGATCATCACACCACTGTACTCCAGCCTGGGCAACAGAGTGAGACCCTGTCTCAAAACAAATAATAAAACAACTTACAGGTTATAAAATTTCAGTTAAGTTAGAATAAAGATGAAAATTTGACCAGTTTCATTCTATAATAGATTTATAAACAAACATCACAAAAGCATAGTCATGTAGATTGGAATAGATATTTAAAATTTTTGCCCATTGTTATTTCATATCATCATCTTACTGCTCCAGCCATGCAACTTACATTTAATAGCTGTCTTCTTTTCTCTGCTCATTCTTCAAATTATTTTCCCAACCACAGAATGTGCTTTGGGGAGTTTTATGCAATCTCCAATATACAACCATAATTAACTTTATGCCAATAAAATGATTATTTTGATTTACTTTTCTATTTAGAGATATTAAAATTTATACATTCTATACAATGTCAAGTATAAGCTTTTTCAACTGTTTACTCTGTAAAAAATTAAACCCTTACGTAACGTACTAATTTTGTACCATACCAGTTTATTCCTTCTTCAACAGCTTCTCGGACTTCTATTCAGAGTGAACTTCATCGAGATAGAAGGTATGTTTGTATTTATAATAGAGGACATATATTCTGCTAATAATTGAAATAAAAGTGTGTTATCAGGTAGCAAGTTAAATATTTTACTTTCATAAGCAATGTATTATTGTATTCTGCCTCATCAGTACATCACCTAAATTAACTTACAAGTTTGAAAGATGATTTTGCTTGGTGGAGTGATACAGGCTTGAAAATGTTCTTTTGAGTGTAATTATTTACTGAAGTTGATTTTTAAAATGTTTATTAAACAACTGCTACATGTAAAGCATTATAACTGCTTCAGAGAAATGCTTTGAACCTCATGCTACTTAGTGCATGTTGACTAACCAAATGGATGGATGACAGGATAGAAAATTGAATGGAAGGATAAAGAAAGGAAAAGAGGAGGTAGGCAGGATGAGTAAAGGCTAGATGGCTTTTTGGAAAAGGGAAGGGAAAAGAGAAGGGAGGAGAGATATTATTTGGATAGGTAGATGGAAGGACCAGTGGACAGGTGGACAGTAGAATGGACAGAAGGATGGATAGACAAATAAAAGAATGGGAGGGGTGGGCAGATGGGTAAATGGATAGATAGATTTTTTTTTACATTGTATCATGATATTCAATCAGATAGATAGGTTTTTATAAGTCATGGTCCCATCTGTCAAATTTCTGATAGTACAGTACAGAATAATAAAGGACTTGAGAGTCAGAACCAAGTTCAAATCCTGACCATCACTTTCCTACCATGTGACATTGGGCAACAAGCTGCTTAATCTCTCTAGCTTCTGTATCCCCATTCTTAAAATGGTGCTAATCATACCTACATCACAAGGTTATTGTAAGAATTAATGTACATATGATTCTTAACATTTATTTACTAGTAACTCTTATTTGGTTGGACAAAAGCTATAAGCAGAGGTCCTTAGGGAATGCAGTTCAAATTTAATCAATGATCAGGTTCTACTGTTTCACAGTGTAGCATGAGAGTGTGTGAAATGCACAATTTTGATGACAGTGCTTTTTTGTTTTTATTTTCCATAGAGTGCTAGAGAAAGGCAGAGCAGGTATTATCATTTATATATGTTCCGTTAGAAAACTAAATTTTCCGCTCAAAACTGTTGATTGATTTGTTCGGGGTCACACAGTTGGTGTTTGTTAAGAAATCAGGTTGAAGAGAAAATTTAAACATGCGCCTGGCACAGTGGCTCATACCTGTAATCCCAGCACGTTGGAAGGATTGCTCAAGGCCAGGAGTTCAAAACAAGCCTGGGCAAGATAGCAAAACCTCATCTCTAGAAAAAAAATTTTTTTTAATTAACTGGGCATGGTGAAATGTGCCTATAGTCCCAGCTACTCAGGAAGCTGAGGTGGTGGGAGCTTGAGGCAGCAGTGAACTATGATTGCGCCACTGCACTCCTGCCTGGGCAACAGAGCAAGGCCCTGTCTTTACAAAATTAATTAATTAATTAGTTTACATGGGAATGTAGAATCAGATTAAGATAAAAGGCATCTTGCCTAAATCACTACAGCTCTTCAGTATTAATGAACACAGGCCAGAGGTAGTGGCTCATGCCTGTAATCCAAGCACTTTGGAGGCCAAGGTGGGCAGATCGCCCAAGGTCAGGAGTTCAAGACCAGCCTGACCAATATGGTGAAATCCTGTCTTTAAGAAAAAAAAAGTATTAATGAACACAGAAACACATGTCAAAGTCTAGAAGTGAACATCCAACCTCAAAACACTTAAAACATAAATATGAATTGGAACAGAGATGGAGTGAGGCAGAAGAGGATATTCTTTTTATATGGTAGTTTTCATTTCAGAGTATGTATTTTATAATAACAGAAAACCAAGCTGGGCCCAGTGGCTAACACCTCTAATCCCAGCATTTTGGGAGGCTAAGGTGGGCAGATCACTTGAGGTTAGGGGTTCGAGACCAGCCTGGCCAATATGGCAAAAACCCATCTCTACTAAAAATACAAAAATTAGCTGGATGTGGTAGTGTATGCCTGTAATCCCAGCTACTCGGGAGAAAGGCACAAGAATTGCTTGAACCTGGGAAGTGGAGGTTGCAGGGAGCCAAGATCGAGATTGTGCCACTGCACTCCAGCCTGTGTAACAGAGTGAGACTCAGTCTCAAATAATAATAATAACAGAAAATCAAACAATTCCATTTGACTAGTGGGCTTTTATACCTTATACTATACATCTGCCCTATAGGCTAGATAGCCCTGGAATGAAGAGATTGTATAGGCCTTACTTACTTAGTTCTCATCCCTATCAACCAAGGCAGAGCCAAGTGTGCTCAGGGTCCATCTCTTAACTTTTTGAGGCCAAAGTCATAGAGGATGACTGTCATTAGCTCCTTTGAAGCCTGTCTGGGTGTACTGTCAGAGACACCCCAGGCCAGACAGGTCATTTCCGTGACCGTGTTAGTTCTTATAACTTTTTTGCGTGCTGGTGGTTTTCATGAAACTTTGAACATTTACAGAGACAATAGCTTGTTACCAACCTGCAAAACCTCACTGAGGCTTCTGTCCACTAGGCGCCCAGAGATCACCATTGTGGCAGCTGAGCCGCTGAGGCCAGCCTCATGGTTTCCGGGAACCCCACACCCAGGTCTGGGATTTCCTGCATCATCTGCAGCAGGCCGTTGGAGGCCTAATGAGCTGGTTCCTGCTGAGGTGAATAAACATCACATTATCTCTTTGCATTTTATTTTTTAAATGAAGTTCAAAGATAAGAACAGTGAGACTGTCAACACCTTGGCTATTGCCCATAGATGTCTAAAATCTTCATTCTTTACTTTTCAGCTCCCACCATCTTATGAACAAGTTATAAAAGAAATCAACCAAGTTCAAGTTAATACTACAAATAATAATAATGCTGCTGCCACTCCAAGGCACACTATTACTTCTGCAACTCAGACTGACTTTTCAGAAGAAATAGACAACGATCTGCCTCAAAGTAATGCAAGTAATCTGTCTTCCCTGATTCTGACCTAGTTCTAGGGAAGTAATCAGTAGGCTTCCAGCCTTTAAAATAATTTGTAATTTGTGCATAATTCATTGAGCTCTGCTGCCCAGTCAGTGTGATCGCTGTGTGCTTGCTTTATTTGGGTATGCAGTGATTATTATAATAGATCATTCTTACAAACTGCAGCCCCAGTCTCTTGAGTTCACCCTAGTTTATATCACAAAAACATCATCCATTTAACTCATGGTGGGTATTACTGCTGATACTCTTTATTCCCACTGAGAAGCATCTTCTGTTTAGCAACTTAAACTTGATAGGATGCTAAGGGTGGTTGTCCTGTTAGGCTCTTTTAAAGTGTTGCACGGTGGCTCATGCCTGTAATCCCAACACTTTGGGATTCTTACAGCGGGCATATTGCTTGAACCCAGGAGTTTGAGACCAGCCTGGGCAATGTGGTGAAACCCCATCTCTACAAAAAAAAAAAAAAAAACGCAAAAATTAGCTGAGTGTGGTGGTGTGTGCTTGTAGGTCCCAGTTACTCAGGAGACTGAGGTGAGAGGATCACTTGAGCACTGGAGGGTGAGGCTGCAGTGACCCATGATAGAGCCACTGTATTCTAGCCAGGTCAACAGAACAAGACCCTGTCTCAAAAAAAAAAAAAAAAAAAAAAACAACAACAAGAAGAATATTTGTCATATAAAGAGCACTCCTACAGGAAGCTGAGAATAAACATTTCCATTTTTGAATCATTTTTTACTAATTAAAGAAACCAAAATCTCTTGTATGTAATTTTAAATCTGTGTATGTATGTATTTTTAAATCTGTGTATCTTCTGTATTTTTTTCTTATAAATTGTTAACATTGTGGCTTCTTTTTATTTGTTTGTTTTGGTCTTATCAGCACTACAGGCACCTCTCAAGCCTCTTCAGCCTTTCCCAGCAGTCTCATCTGGCAATCTTCCAACAAATGTGGCACCGCTAATAGTCTTTGATATTTTTGAAGAACAGAATTGTCCGGAAAACCCCAGTGCTACAAGATGTCCAGTGCCAAAACCAAGATCAAAAAGCAACCTCAGACCAGTTGTCAGAGATTCTCACATTAAAGAGCAAAGTCACCAGAAAATCAGCCCAGCAGCCATAGGAGAGAAGTCATCCCCAGGCCGACCCCAGTCTCTGCTGGACAACACTAGCACCTCAGACAGTCAGGCAGTAATGAACATTATGAACACGGAACAAAGCCAAAATAGTATTGTTTCCAAAATCAAAGTGTTTGAGGATCAGACAACTACAGAAACCTCAGGACTGCCCAAGAAACCAGAAATTACTCCACGTTCACTTCCTCCAAAGCCTACTGTTTCCTCAGGGAAACCTTCTGTGGCTCCCAAACCAGCTGCTAACATTAGAGCTTCTGGAGAGTGGGACTCTGGGACTGAGAACAGACTCAAGGTGACCTCCAAGGAAGGGCTCACCCAATACCCTCCCCTGCAAGAAGCAGGAAGCATCCCAGTAACCAAACCTGAATTGCCAAAGAAACCAAACCCTGGCCTTATACGAAGTGTTAATCCTGAGATTCCGGGAAGAGGGTCCCTGGCTGAGAGCTCTGATAGTGGGAAGAAAGTGCCAACTCCTGCCCCGCGGCCTTTGCTGCTGAAGAAATCTGTTTCCTCAGAAAACCCCACCTACCCCTCAGCTCCACTGAAACCTGTCACTGTTCCTCCCCGACTCTCAGGGACATCACAAGCCAAAGCATACAAGTCCCTGGGAGAAGGGCCCCTGGCCAAACCCCCAGTTCCAGTTCTGCAGAGCAAGCCCTTGGGGGACATCGATCTCATCAGCTTTGATGATGATGTTTTGCCCACCCCATCGGGGAACCTGGCTGAAGAATCTGTTGGTTCAGAGATGGTTCTAGGTGAGTGAAAAATGAGCAATGGAGGGGAAGCTAAACTCATGATAGGGTATTTTAAATGGCACTTGCTGTTTTAGTTTCCAGTACGTAAGTTATTGAGATGCATGCATGTGTGTGTGTGTGTGTAGAGACAGAGAGAGACAGGAATGAACAGAGAGGTCAAGAAACATGGAGCTAAGTGGAGAATGGAGACAGGGAGGGAAGGAAAAATACAGGATGGGGGTGATGGAGTCAAAAAGAGGGAGACACATGTACTGATTACTATTATATGAGCCAGAAGGAAGCAGACTGGGACTAGGGACTAAACCAGGCGTCCCCAAACTATGGCCTGCGGCCGCATGCAACCCCCTAAAGCCATTTATCCGGCCCCCCACCACACTTCAGGAAGGGGCACCTCTTTCATTGGTGGTCAGTGAGAGGAGCACAGTATGTGGTGGCCCTCCAATGGTCTGAGGGACAGTGAATTGGCCCCCTGTGTAAAAAGTTTGGGGACACCTGGACTAAACTATAATAGGTTGTGGGGCTAGCTCCCCTCACTCTTGGCAGATAGAAGTTCAGGCTTCACATTGAAAGGATCCAGAGAGGTTGGGCAACATGTAGAAGGATTCAGAGGAATCTTCTCGTAGATGGGAAGTCATCTCTGGGGCATTGGCCCCAGAGGGGCTCCTCAGATGAAATGGGTCCCAGCTGGGAGTGCTGGGAGAGGGGCCAGTTCAAGAGGAGGATTCTGGAAAATGTACGGAATGAGGACCCAGCCACATGTTGCAAAATAGTTCCTTTAATCTTCACAGAACATCTTCCTTTGAGAGTGAAAAGTTTTGTAAATAAAATACAACATTTGTAGGTTCGCTGCCAAGATCAGTACAATTAAATTTCCCAGAAGGCAGAGTGTGTTTTTTTTCCTCTCACTGTTCGGTCGGAGAGTGTGATAGTAAAGCTTATCTTTGTCTTGTCAAACTAAGCTGCTCTACTTGTCATCAATAAGATTTCTTTTACTGCTGTTTACTTATTTGGGTGGAAGTTGTGAACATATAAACTTAATGGAATTTTTAAAAGGTTAACTGTCACTGTATAAATGTTTAACATGCATCAAAATAGTACAGACTCTGTGATTTCAAAACCAAATTCTGCACAGCACATGTGTATTTAAACTGAAAGCAAACATACACATTATTTATTAAATATTCATGCACAGAACATTGTAACTGACACACTACATTTTAGCATATAAATGAAAAGACATACATGGCTTTTGTCCATAAAGGGTCAAAGGTAAAACATTTGAATATATTAAGCTTCTGCAGTGTACCTGACGCTCTGCTAAATATTGAGGCATTACATTATTTTATTTAATAATTGCAACAACCCTCTGTGAGATATCATTGGCCTAAGTTTGCAAATGAAGATGGTGAGGCTGAGAGAGATCTGTGGATAACTTGACCAGTGTCATAAAACAATTATCTAAGTCAGGATTCAAACTTAGTGTTTTTACTCTAAGTCTGGTTTATTTTTCACTATATAATGTTGCAACCCAATATTTTCATAAATCCTTAACCAGGCAACACTTTAAAAACTTTTCAAGTCTTTGATAATACCAGTTTCTTATATGAACCTCTTTGGTATTAACAAGATTCAGAGGACAGGTAAACCCAACAGCACCAAGCTTTTAAGGGGTGGAAACCATGCAAGCCAAAGAAATAATACCTTTTGTAGAACTTGCTAGTTTCTATGGGGACAGGAACTTGACTAATAATTGCTGGGAATTTATTTTGTATCATCTAGCAGATAATTATAGTAATCCTCAAAAGAAGGTCAACAATATACTTTCAACATGAATACAGTCTCATGCTTCATACTCAGCCTTTTCTCCTTCTTGATTTCTACCACTTCATTGCACAACATTTAATTATTGGGGCGTCTTTTAGCAAAGTGTGTAATTTGCTTGTACTATCTGACTTTAACCATTGCTCTTGACTATGGAGCTGTACTGAGCTGAATACTACCTTCTTTCTAAACCTGCCTTTCTTCTTATATTTTACAACTCACTAGTGACACCAACATGCACACCCAGGAGAAACCTAGAGATCATCATAGAGTCTTCTCACCATGTCACACAGTGGCTAGATTGGAGTCTCCCAGGGCCTACCGTAATTGTTATGTGACCTTAGACAATTTACTTAACCTCACAGTGCCTCTGTTTCTTCATCTGTAAGACATAATCATACTCGTCAGAGAGGGTATTGCAAGGGTAAAATGTGATTATGTAGGAAAGTGGTATTACACTATGTGAAACATGATGATCATCAAGTAGTAGTTATTGTTGTTACTTCTCTGTCTTTGCATCTAATTAGTTACCAACTCTTGCTGCTGGTTTTACCTTCCAAATAGTTCTTGACTCTGCCTCTCCTTTTCATCCCTCCTTTTTTCTTTCCCACCTTAGGCCTTTATGCTGTGATGACTGCAGTAGCCTCCTAAATTGAGCCCACTCAGATGAACCTATCATCTTCCACAGGCTACCCAGGGAATTTTCTAGAATGTATACTTGCCTTGTTGCTTCCCTACTTAGGCCCTCCAAAGGCCTTCAGTATCACCTCTGAATGCCTTGAGCTGTGGAGGGATTTTCGTTTGCTTTTTGATTTGGGGCTTTGTGACTTTTTGATGGTGTTTTGGTAGCATTGTCATTGTAAATAAAGGTTTATGGTCTCTGGGAAACCTTGCCTAATCATCCAGACACCAGGCAGAAACTGGGAGAGGAACACAGGAGAAAGAAGAGAAACTTACAAATACGCCTTCCATCCCCTTTCTCTTACCTCAAAAATAAAGAAAATCTAATAAAATAGCATTCATAAAATGAAGTTGCCATATTAATCTCAAGCAATAGAGATCCAAAAATACTGAAGCTATGAAAACACTGTAAAGATTAGAAAAATTATTAAAGGAAAACTCATAAAACAGGCAATTTAATATTGGATTCATTTCTTGGGTAGAATGCCTTCCAGGTTAATGTAATGGAGCTGAGAAGTATTAGCAATTCTTCTTCACACCTCTCCAAAATCATACCCAGTTGTCAAAAAAAGCAGAATGTTTCTGCCATCAGCCCCATTACACAGACCAAAATAATAGTTTAGCAGCCAATTTCTGCTATTAACAGAACTCAAGGGAAAGAAATGACAGAAAAGCAAGCCAGGGATGGTGAAACTAATTATGATGACAAGCACATTATTAGAGACAGGTAATAGGTGGAAAACTACTTTATCATCAGTGTTTTTCTCAATCCACTAATGAAGACTGTGCAGATATAGGTGTAAAGAGGCCTGCTTTTTCAGCAGCAGGTGTGGAATAATTGGTGCTGATGTGAGGGAGTAGAGGGAAGACAGAATACACACTGCAAATAAAAGTAGACAAAAATCCATTATCTTGTCTTAGATTCAGATAGGAGATTCTTCTTAAGATGCTCTGTGGTTTTTTTTTTGTTTGTTTTTGTTTTTTTTTTTTCTGTAGAAACAAGAGCAATCTGTGATAGAATTATGGCAACAAGTTCTTAATCCTTTTCAGATTACCAGTATCTGAGAATCTGAGGTAACCTGAGACTCTTTTCTCTCCCTTGAAAATAGCCTTTAATTCAATGACTGTTTGGAGCTGTGAGAAAAAAAAGAAAAAAAGGAAAGAAGATAGCCATTACCTCATGTGTACACAGCTTACTGTGTGTACAATATCCAGAACTTCAAGGGCCCATTTTGGGCTCTATATTAAGGATTTCTACTATAGAATATTGGAAATAAATGTCAATGGACTGCTTAAATTACAGTACATCCATAACAGTGGAATATTTTGTGATAATTAAAAGGGGGGAGACCTATTACTCCCTACTGTAGACAAACCTCCAACATATTATTAGGTGAAAAATGCAAGATATAGGATCGTTTTTATGTTATTTTAGCTATTGTTTGTGTTAATGTGAATGCAGTGTGCAGTGATATATGAAAAGTTGGTAACAAAGGTTGTCTTCTTTGAAGGAACTGGATAGGAGAAAACAGAGAACCTAGTCTTCACTGTATGCATGCTGATCTCTTTTGAATTTCAGACCATGTGGAGGCATTACCTGTAACAAGATAGGAAAGCAATAATCTTTTTTAAATAGCTGAACATAAGCATAATTAGGCTGAAAAAAACTATCTCTTGTCATCTTTGCCACTTCTGAAGAGCTGCTTCCCCTACTGACCCTCAGATTCTGATAAGTAGAAATTTTTAAAATAATAAAATAGTGATTTATCTAAAAGGTTATATTATTCAAGGTTACAAATACAAACTAGTTGTTATGAACTAAATATGTCTAAATTAGACAAATTCAAAATTTTATATCTGCATTATTTCCTTCTAAATTGAATCCAAAAAAAGAATTTTTATTTTTCTAGTTACTTTATGGAAAATTTTACGGCCATTATTGCCTTGAAAAAGTAATGAAAGAAACCAGAAGTTTCCTCTTTTGTTTTCTTATTTTTAGGTGGTTTTGTTCTGGTTCGTTTGGCAGAGGTTATCTCAGCTTAATCTTCTAACTTTTCCCTTATGATTAAATTTATGTTATTGGATTTGTTTCAGTAAGAAAAGTAAAATATATTTGTTGTAACAAGTTAAATAATCAAGAGATTTTGGGTTAAAAAAATGTAATCTCCCCACAGTGAGCAGTGTGAACAAAGTATGCAGTCTTCTGTGCCTTTGGGCATGCCAAACCCAAGTTTACACATATCTGCATAGTGGACTTCTGGAAATTTTTACCATACTATACCTGTTACTCAGCAGAGTGCTTCTTTTTTTTGTTGTTTGTTTGAGACAGAGTCTCATTCTGTCACCCAGGCTGGAGTGCAGTGGCACGATCTCAGCTCACTGCAGCCTCTGCCTCCCAGGCAGTTCTCCTGCCTCAGCCTCCCGAGTAGTTGGGACTATAGGCATATGCCACCACGCCCAGCTAATTTTTTGTATTTTTAGTAGAGACCGGATTTCACCATGTTGGCCAGGATGGTCTCGATATCCTGACCTCAGGTGATCTGCCTGCCTCAGCCTCCCAAAGTGCTGGGATTACAGGTGTGAGTCACCACGCCCAGCCAGCAGAGTGCTTTATTAAACAATGACATTTATCATTTCTCTTCAGGATAATAGGTCTAAGTCTAATTCATTGTCTCTTTATACCCTTATACCTGCCTGATACCTCATAATATATCATAACTGGTTCAGTATTTCTCCTATTGTTGGAAATTCAGGTTGTTTCATTTGTTTTTTATTTGAGGGGTGGGTTGTGTTTTTTTTTTTGTTCATTGTTGGGTTTTGCCACTACAAAAAATGCTTCAGTAAATACTCTCAGAAACATGTTCACTTCTATTGATGCTTTTGTTTCTGAAGAATAAATTTCTGAAAATAGGACTACTAGTCAAAGGTTATGAACTTGAAACATTTTAACTAGTACTAATGATCCAGTTTCTCACCTAGTGGTGTCTAGAGTACCCCAACATGAAGTGTCAGCCTTGCTTTATATGTTGCCCACTTATAACTTCTGTTGGAAAAAATAGACCTCTTATGAAAAGACTTAAAAAGTGAACTTACCATGTTGCTAGAGAGAAACTTGCACACCATCATAAGATGAAAAACAGGGCTCTGGCTCCACCTTCTCATTGAAGTGATGCTGTTTATCCTCCCCACTAATCTGCACTCCTCACATGGATCACAGCCCAGACAACATGCAGACAGAGAGGCAGATGCAGAGCTCACTGACTCAGTGAGCACAGCTGGGGGAGATCATTAAACAGACCACTCCTGCCAAACAGCCTGTGGTGGTGGAACACGAAGACTTCCTTGCCCCACCACATGGAGAAAGAAATTTTTTCCTGGGGACCTGTATAGTAGGATAATTACACATTATCTGAGTGGCAGTTATTAAAGAACAGCTAACAGTATTAAAAAGTAAAAGAAAACAAGAGAGAGAGTTAAAAAGCTAGGATGCTTTGAATACTTCATAAGTTATATCTATGCTCCTTCAATTTAAATTCTTCAGGTTAAAACAAAAAATGATTGGACCCTTGAACACAATAGGTGACATCTGCCCACACTGTGCAGGATTTGGGTCAGATTTCCTGAGGTCATTCCTCCCACAGCAAGTGCGTTTTGGATGCCCCTGTGTTCAGCCCACAAGGGTGCTAATTGGCCTCTTTTCTCCTTTCTCTGCCTGCCCCCACCTATGCCCTCACTTGTGAAATGTGAGTGTGTAGGTGGTATACTGGCCCAGAATTTAATTTGATTTGGGAAACAATTTATGTCATTCCATGCTCAAGATTTTCTTTCCCCTTCACACACACCCAAAAAGCATCATTGAATAAAATTTTAAACTAATAACCAACATGTTATTGGTACCAAAAGCAGCTGTTAAAGAAATACCACTTCAAGCCAGGCACTAAGGCTCACACCTATAATCCCAGCATTTTGAGAAGCCAAGGTGGGAGGATCACTTGACCCCAAGAGGTCGAGACAAACCTGGGCAACATAATAAAACTTCATGTCTACAAAAAATAAAAATTAGCCAGGCATGGTGGCACATTCCTGTAGTTCCAGATACTCAGGAGGCCAAGGTGGGAAGACTGCTTGAGCCCAGAAAGAAGTCGAGGCTGCAATGAGCCACATGATTGCACCATTGTACTCCAACTTCGGTGAAAGAGTGAGACCATGTCTCAAAAAAAAAAAAAAAGAAAGAAAGAAAGAAATGAAAAGTAGGGCACCGTGAATGATTATTGGAAGAACTATTCAGAGATGTAAAATCCAGTTGTTGGAAAGACAGTCAAACAATGTCACCTCCCTCCCTCACCTATTGCACTCCTGTTTCCAACTGCAACCTGCTTCCCTTCTGCCCATACCTTGTTCTGCTTTTTCATCTTTCAATGTAATTCTCACCTTCAAATATACTACATGAATTCCTTATCTGTTATATGTATTGTTTCTGGTCCCCATCTCTCTGCTGGAATGTTAAGTTTCATGAAGGCAGAGTTCTGTGCTTTGTTCACTGCTATAGTCCCAGCACCTAGAAGAGTGTTTAATGCATAGCAGGCACCCAGTCAATATTGAATGAACAAAAGTGAAAAATCAAACTACAAAGAAATTGATATAAAAAGATCCTGGATTTGTTTTTCAGAACATCTGTATAATAATAATACATGTAATATTTATAGAAAACACATAGACATACCATATTTTAGACAATAATTAATTTTAGAGAGATTATATTACAAGAGGTTTTCTTTTTCTATTTTATGTAATTCTTAATTTTTCTCACTTTTGCAACAAATACTACTTTGAAGTAAAAAAGTACTGTTATACTTGTTATTATATATTTGTTGTTATAAAATTAAAGAATTAAGGAATTTGGTTAAATCCAAAAACAGGAGCTTTGTTGTTTTATGGGTGACAGGTCATAGCAGAAGAAAGTTGTATTGTTAATACAGTAGTCTTTTTTTTTAAGTTTGATGACATTCTTTTGATAATCTTAGTTTTTTGAATGTAAGACTAGCCTCACTCATTGTGAGCTGGTAAGATTCCACAGAGTCGTCATCTATTTTTTTTTCTCAAGTAGTGTAATAATAATTTTAGCTAGCTTGCCATCTGGAGACCCTTCCTAAGTGATAGATAAGAAACTTAAAATAGTATTGTACTTTACCATCATACCTCCCCACCCAGCACTGTTATTGGCATAAATATGTAAGCAAGTGGTTGGTGAGAGAGTGATGCCTTTGGCGGGGTCTCTGTTGGTGGGGTTGCCTGAAAACTGGGTGGAAGAGAAGGTGAAGTATTGTTAAAAGGGCTTTTATTCTTAGCTCAACCCTTCACGTATCCTTCAAAGAACTGGTCAGCAAAAGGTGCTTATTGAATTGCACCTCATAACAGGCATAATGTGAATGCTGTTCATTACAGGAGCTATGGAGTGCATCGTTTTATAAGGAGTATCTCCCCACAGGCAAGATCCATAGAACAGGTGCAGAATTACAGCATATACTCATTTCCCCTCTTGTTAAATAAAGTCAAAGACAGTTTCATGCGATCCTACATGCTGAGTAGTAGAATATCCATTGTAGAGCATTTTCTTTTATTTTTGCTAATCATTATACTTGTAGATTTCCCTTTAAAAAAAAAAAAGTTAGTCATATTTTCCAAACCACTAAAAAGGACATTTATATTAAAGACTTTCAATAAAAAGGTTTACAGATACGCTTTTGTTTAAAGTATTTCTCCTAAGTATAAACTGTCCATTTAAAATATTGGGTTGGTGCATTACTTTTAATGGCAAAAACCACAATTACTTAATAAATCAGTTAAGACAGAGGAATGCCAAGTCATATGTTCTTGCCCCAAAATTAAATATTTGAAGAGGTATGTCTTATTTTATTTATGGGATAGAATGTTTTTGATTTTCATGTTACTGAAGTGTAGTTTTACTAAACTAAATCTGAGACTGCTGAGCACCTTCCCTGTGCCAGGCACGGCACTGGGTAGGATGGGGGTCCTGGTAGTAAATATTCTGGGACAGGTACGGGGGTGTCTAGGGAAAGAGTCTTTCTTTCCTCTCTGGGGCATCTGGGAGGCTTTGGGATGTGGGAAAGATGGTCTCCTCCTCTCATTTTCAGGCAGACGTGTATGAAATGATTACACTCCCCTGAAAGATCAGCTTCTACATAATTCAAGATGATCCTCGATCTCTCTCATCAGACAGGAAGAAAAGCCACATGAATTATTTACAGAACACTAAGTTACTTCCTTTTATGAGCTCCAACTTTGTTTTTGTCTCTGCAAACTGAGATTTTGTTTATCCATGAATAGTTCCCCCTGGGGCATGAAAAATATGACTCTTAAATTATGAATGAGGTTTTTTGTTTCAGTCCGTGTTAACTAAAACATGCAAAATAAACTGTGTTTTTCATTAGATCCCTTTCAGCTCCCTGCAAAAACAGAACCAATAAAAGAACGAGCAGTTCAACCAGCACCCACCAGGAAGCCCACTGTAATTCGAATTCCAGCCAAACCAGGAAAATGTAAGCACTTCTCTGCTTTCTTTATTTGCTTCTTCAAGAGCTTGGGAGAAATATATGCTAATTTATCAATGTCTGCTTTTGAAGTTATATATCATCTGCCATTCATAGTCAAAGCTATTTAAAAGCAAGTTGTTTTTCACAATTGTTCAAAGAATTAGTACAGTAAATTTGAATTTTTTCTTTCTTTTTTTTTTTTTTTTTTTTTTTTTTTTTTGAAGGTGGGGAGTCTCACTCTCTTACCCAGGCTGGAGTGCTGTGGAGCAATCTTGGCTCACTGTAACCTCTGCCTCCTGGATTCAAGCAGTTCTCCTGTCTCAGCCTCCCAGGTAGCTGGGACTACAGGTGCACACCACCATGCCTGGCTAATTTTTGTATTTTTAGTAGAGACAAGGTTTCACCATATTGGTCAGGCTGGGGATTTCATTTTTCTTTTATGATGCCTTTAAACAGAGAATAGAGGGAGACTGAAATTCAGAACAATTGTTATATCCCACGTTAATACCTCTGGTACAGATTTGGTGGAAAAGTAACCTAAACCAATAGCAAATAAAGTTGTATATGTCTATCAGTCAGGAGTATATTATTCCAGTCAGCATAATCTCAAATATGGCTATGTGTGAATTCTGTGAAGATTAGTAGCCAAAAGCTTTTAAAACATATAATTATTTATAAAAATAATTCTTAAATTAGTGTAACATTACATTTTGATTTACATCCTTACTTGATTTTTTTTTTTGAGACAGAGTTTCGCTCTTGTTACCCAGGCTGGAGTGCAATGGCATGATCTCGGCTCACTGCAACCTCCGCCTCCTGGGTTCAAACAGTTCTCCTGCCTCAGCCTCCCGAGTAGCTGGGACTACAGACGTGCACCACCATGCCCAGCTAATTTTTGTATTTTTAGTAGAGACGGAGTTTCACCATGTTGACCAGGTTGGTCTCGATCTCTTGACCTCATGATCCACCCGCCTCGGCCTCCCAAAGTGCTAGGATTATAGGCATGAGCCACCACACCCGGCCCCTTACTTGATTTTTTAATAGTATAACAAGTGAAATTCTATAGGAGCTCTAATAAGTACTTCAAAAAGAAATCTGATCGTTATTATAATAGGAAAGCCACAAGGGCCAGAACTATTTATTTTAGGCACCAGATTATTTAAAAGGTGATTAAAAGTATGTTTATATATGTGTACACACACACAGTGGGTTCCAGAGCAGTTCGTGGCACTGCTTGGAGTGATCACACAGCCTTCTGTGAGGGCCTCTGATTTCGTTTATATCTGCACTGCCTTTATATAGCCCACATGCATTCTTGCCTTGTCTAACAAGAGATTCTGCCCACTTCATTCCTCCTAAAGCAGAACAAGCATTCCACTCTTTCATCTGTAGCACCCAGGATTATACTGCAGGAATATTCCTTGTGTTGTAGGGGTTTGGTTTTTCTGTAAAGCACTACCCAGAAGGATCATGTTGGTTTTAGTATCTTCTTGATGATTCTGTTATTAACTGATGGTTCTCAGCCAAGTAGCAAGAAAATTGAACTGAGTTGCTATGAAGAATGAGGAGAAAAAAAATCAAGGGTATCAAATTCTGGTTCTAGTTTCTTTGGAAGTTATATTTTATTTCTTTGAAGGTAATATTTTAATGTTAGATTTAAAAACTCGTGGTAGGTGGTAGGCGAGACATGGTGCCTCACGCCTCTAATCCCAGCACTTTGGAAGGCCAAGTTGGGCAGATCACTTGAAGTCAGGAGTTAAAGACCAGCCTGGCCAACATGGTAAAGCCCCGTCTCTATCAGAAATACAAAAATATGGCCGGGCGCGGTGGCTCAAGCCTGTAATCCCAGCACTTTGGGAGGCCGAGGCGGGTGGATCACGAGGTCAAGAGATCGAGACCATCCTGGTCAACATGGTGAAACCCCGTCTCTACTAAAAATACAAAAAATTAGCTGGGCATGGTGGCGCGTGCCTGTAATCCCAGCTACTCAGGAGGCTGAGGCAGGAGAATTGCCTGAACCCAGGAGGCGGAGGTTGCGGTGAGCCGAGATCGCGCCATTGCACTCCAACCTGGGTAACAAGAGCGAAACTCCGTCTCAAAAAAAAAAAGGAAAGAAAAGAAATACAAAAATATTAGCCAAGCATGGTGGCACACCCCTGTAATCCCAGCTACTAGGGAGGCTGAGGCACAAGAATCACTTGAACGCAGAAGGCGGAGGTTGCAGTGAGCCGAGATAGCACCACTGCACTTCAGCCTGGGCAATAGAGCAAGACTCCATCTCAAAGAGAAAAAAAAAACTAACTGGTGGTATATTTCTTTTGACAGTATTATATAGCCCACAAATCAGTAAAATGATAGCTCATTGGGTTGTTTGCCTGTTTGCTATTACTTTATTAAATGTATTCTAGATTTTAACAGGTATAGTAACATATAATGTTAAGAAATATTGGCCGGGCGTGGTGGCTCATGCCTGTAATCCCAGCGCTTTGGGAGGCTGAGGCGGATGGATCACTTGAGGTCAGGAGTTCAAGACCAGCCTGGACAACATAGTGAAACCCCGTCTCTATTTAAAAAAAAAAAGAAAAGAAAGAAAGAAAGAAAAGAAATATTGCCGTGAGTTTTAAGTAATACAACTTATACAGAAATTAGTAATAAATACAAATTTTTAAATTTATTCATCTGTTGTGTCATTGTCCCCCAATGACCACCCCCACCCAGGTTTGATGATTCACTAGGAGGACTCACAGGACTCAACAGTTGTATTTATGGCTATTATTTATTATAGCAAAAGCATATGAGGTACAATCAGCAAAGAGAAAAGGCAAATAGGGTGAAGTCTGAAAGAGACCAGATACACACTTCCAAGAGCCTTCTACTGGTGGAGTCAGAGGACATGCTTTAACTCCTCCAGCAATTAGTTGTGGCGATACGTGTGAAATGTCGACCAGAGAAGCTCATTAGAGATTCAGTGCCCAGGGTTTTTATTGGGGGCTGTTTATATAGGCACTCCTAAAAATTTTGGCACATACCAAAATTCCAGATTCCCAGAAGAAAAGCAGATGTTCAGCATAAACCATATTCTGTTTTATCAGTTTTGAGGATGGCAAGAACGGTCCCAAAGTCCAAGCTTGTATATGCCAGCCAACAACCAATCTTATGGCTGGGTGCAGTGGCTCACACCTGTAATTCCAGCACTTTGGGAGACAGAAGCGGGTGGATCACCTGAAGTCAGGAGTTCAAGACCAGCCTGGCCAACATGGCAAAACCCTATCTCTACTAAAAATACAAAAATTGTGTGGGGATGGTGGCATGTCTCTGGCTGAGGCAGGAGAATTGCTTGAACTGGGAGGCGGAGGTTGCAGTGAGCCAAGATAGCTGTATTGCACTCCAGCCTGGGTGACAAGAGCAAAACCCAAAGGAAAAAAAAAAAAGGGACCAATCTTGTAAGCAGGACTTCATAGGGATGAAGTTTCAGGCCTGCTATGTTTACTTTTTCTGTACCTTGTCAACTACATTAATGAGCTCTGAAATCCTGAAAAGGATATGCTGAGAAAGCAGCTTTAATTATCCTGACAAAGCTCCAAGAACTGGTAGAAAGTTGAATTCTAGGAGTTCGAGACCAGCATGGCCAACATGGTGAAACCCCATCTCTTCTAAAAACATAAAAATTAGCCTGGCATAAAAAAGAATGAGTTCATGTCCTTTGGAGGGACATGGATGAGGCTGGAAGCCATCATTCTCAGCAAACTAACACAGGAACAGAAAACCAAACACTGCATGTTCTCACTCGTAAGTGGGAGTTGAGCAATAAGAACACATGGACACAGGAAAGGGAACAACATACACCGGGGTCTGTCAGGGGTAGGGGGCAAGGCGAGAGAGCATTAGGACAAATACCTAATGCATGCGGGGCTTAAAACCTAGATGACAGGTTAATAGGTGAAACAAACTACCATGGCACATGTATACCTGTGTAACCTACACATTCAGCACATGTATCTCAGAACTTAAAGTAAAAATTTTTTTAATTATTTAAAAAAAATAAAAATAAAAGCTCAATTAAATTAGCCAGGCATGGTGGCACACACCTGTAAACCCCAGCTACCTGGGAGGCTAAGACAGGAGAATTGCTTGAATGCAGGAGTCAAAGGTTGCAGTGAGCCAAGATCACACCACTGCATTCCAGCCTGGGCAACAAAGCATGACTTCATCTAAAAAAAAAAAAAAAAAAAAAAAGGAAAGTTGAATTCTATACTGCTAAATGTGGGAGAACTGAAATGACAGAATGGTTCCTAGAGTTATTTCTATTTGTATCAAAAATCAATTCCTCAGAATTTTATTAATATAATTATTAACCAATTCTTTAACTCCTATATTCTGTGGAGGAAGAAGAATAAAACTTTGGTGTCTGAAAAATTTGGAATGGTCAAGGGAAAAAGGAACTAGCTTCATGGTGCAGATGTCCTTGAACTTATTTGAACCTGTCAGCTTCTTTCCCCTGGGGCCTGTTTCTTCTGATCAGGTTGTCCTTTTCCCAGAGGTCTGCATGGCTCCCTCCCTCACCAATCCTTCAGGTCTTTATTCAATGCCACTTTTTGTCAGAGACCTTCCCTGACTACATTATTGAAAATTGGAAATTTCTTACCTCCACATCCCACACACACTCACACCAGATACTCCCTATGTTCCTCCTTCCAGTAAGCTGTCTCCTTTCTACTTTCATATTACTGTCGTGTACTCTTAAATATTTGTCACAACAGTTTTATATTCTAAATGGTCAACTATTTCCTTGTAAGAATAAAGAAACCACAGCACAGAAAATATCTTCAAGATGGTGACTAAGTAGGATGTTTTTATTATGTATGTTTTAATTCCCAGAGCAGCCTTGCCTCTCACTAAGAATGTTGCCTTGCTCTAAATCATTGTTTTCCTAGTTGCTAGCCTGGATATTTTCCTCCCTTTGAGAATGTTTTCCTGTCTGAGGATAAAACAGGAACATGACAAATCATCTTCTTGTTACAGATTTTTCAAGTGAAATGGAAGTAGAGTGTACATTTCAAAAAAAAGAGAGAGAGACAGAATGCTCATCTGCTCATCTCCTTTTAATGCCTAAACCAAACAGTGTAAAGGATGGCTTAGCATCCTTCAGTATGTTACAGTCATCCACTTTCCAGTTGTTTTTGCACACTCATTTTAATTAGCTGTCACTAATCAAATCTGATCATCTTTGTTTCCTTCTTTTTAAAATAAGTGAGGGGTACATTATTTAAAATAAGTGAGGGTGTGGTTTGGATGTAAAGGTACTGTTTGTTTAATTACGTTCATTAATAAGAAGCTAATGAATTAAAAAACACATTGAATTCTTTTTGGATAAGGGAGTGTTGGATACACCACCCATTAAGAAGCAGCATGGTGGCCAGGTGAGGTGGCTCATGCCTGTAATTCCAGCACTTTGGGAGGCCAAGGTGGGCGGATCACAAGATCAGGAGTTCAAGACCAGCCTGACCAACAAGGTGAAACCCTGTCTCTACTAAAAATACAAAAAATTAACTGGGCATGGTAGAGCATGCCTGTAATCCCAGCTACTCAGGAGGCTGAGGCAGGAGAATTGCTTGAACCTGGAAGGTGGAGGTTGCAGTGAGCTGAGATCATGCCACTGTACTCCAACCTGGGCAATCTTGGTATGTGCCAAGATCTCTGTCTCAAAATAAATACATAAATTTATTAAATTAAATTAATTAATTAGATTTTAATTGATTTTTAAATTAATTTAGCAGATTCTGTCTCAAAAATAAATTAATTAAATTGAATAAAAAGAAGCAGCATGGCTTATCAAAATGAACATGGGCTTTTAGGTTCAAAACAATGAATCTGACAATTACTAGCAGTAAAATCTTGGGTAGCATATTTATTTTCTTAGCTTCAGTTTCTTCATATGTAAAACAGGTGGGATATCGTCTAGTGCAGTCCTGTGCAATAGAACTTTCTGTAAAGATAGAAATGTTTTGAAACTGTTCTGGTAGCCACTAGTCACAAGTGGCTATTTAATATATTGAAATGTGGCTAGTGCAACTGAGGAACTAAAATTTTAATTTAATTTAAATTAATTAAGATTTAAGTCTAAATATCAGATGTAGCTACCAGCTAGTAGACTGGGCAAATCTAACACATAGATCTTGGTTGGAGATATGTATGTAAATATAGAGCCTAACTTAATGCCTGGCACATAAAAGGTTGTCAACAATGCTGGTTGCTGTTATAATTATTTGATATTATTTTCACTCTCTATAAAACATATAGTAAAATTAACTGATGTGGACTAACACATGAATTTTCTGAGGTTTTCTGGGAGTTCTTCCTTATTTGCCTAACTATGTGTGTGTATCTTATATGATAGCCAGTTTTCTAATTAAGCAGCAAAGGCTGGGTGCAGTGGCTCACACCTGTAATCCCAACAGTTTGGGAGGCTGAGACAGGTGAGTCACAAAGTCAGGAGTTTGAGACCAGCCTCACCAACATTGTGAAATCCCACTCTCCTAAGAATACAAAAATTAGCTGGGTGTAGTGGCGCATGCCTGTAATGCCAGCTACTCAGGAGGCTGAGGCAGGAGAATCGCTTGAACTTGGGAGACGGAGCTTGTAGTGAGCCAAGATCACGTGATTGCACTGTCGCAATTGCACAGATCTCGCTCTGTCTGGGTGACAGAGCGAGACCCGGCCTCGAATAAAAAATTTATATATGTATATATGTATATACACACACACGCATACACACACACACACACACACACACACACACACACAGAGTAAAATGAACTAATGTTGACCAACACATGAATTTTCTGAGGTTTGCTGGGAGCTCTTTCTCATTTGCTTAACTATTTGTGTGTATCTTTTATGATAGTCATTTTTTAAATAAACTAAGCAGAAATTATTTTATTCTTTGGAATCCCAAAGACTAGAAATTATTGATGAATTACTCCAATTTTTTCCAGGTTTACATGAGGATCCACAAGGCCCACCTCCTCTCCCTGCTGAAAAACCTATCGGAAACACTTTCAGTACAGTATCTGGAAAACTCGGTACTGTTGACAGAACTAGAAACTTGGTAAGTGGTCATTATAGATTGTATTAGGTTGAAGAGGTAGCTATGCATTGATTATGAATAGTCAGCTGATACCTAAATTATTTTACTACTGGTCATATTAAAAACAAAAACCCGGCCGGGCGCGGTGGCTCAAGCCTGTAATCCCAGCACTTTGGGAGGCCGAGGCGGGTGGATCACGAGGTCGAGAGATCGAGACCATCCTGGTCAACATGGTGAAACCCCATCTCTACTAAAAGTGCAAAAAATTAGCTGGGCATGGTGGCACGTGCCTGTAATCCCAGCGACTCAGGAGGCTGAGGCAGGAGAATTGCCTGAGCCCAGGAGGCGGAGGTTGCGGTGAGCCGAGATCGCGCCATTGCACTCCAGCCTGGATAACAAGGGCGAAACTCCGTCTCAAAAAAAAAAAAAAAAAAAAAAAAAACAAAAACCCTTTATTAGAGACCAGAGTCTAAGCCCCATGTACTTATATAATGTAGTCTTCAATATGTTAAAAGTCCCTATAGAGAGATTAGGCCAATTCATTGTACTTCATTATAAAATAATTTGTATACCAACTTAATGACATTGTCTTTTAAATGGAAATAATAATTAGAAGGTTATTAAAATCTCTAAAAACCTTTAATATTTATGGAAATAACTTTAGTCAAGTTGTCGGTTTTTATTTAAAATACCCAATTAGTGACCAAAATTTAAGATAATTACTATAAGAATTTTTCAATCTGAAATTTAAGAAAAATGTATTTTTTTAATGAAAAAAATAGTGTTTTACTGTGCACTTGTTAAGATGGTGGTCAAAGAGACTTTTTGTATATATATATGTGTGTGAGGATATATGTGTGAGTGTATATATATATATATTTTTTTTTTCATTTCAACCTCAATATCCTCATACTTTTTTTTTTTTTGGTCTTCCAACTTTTGTGATGTATTGGGAAAACAGACATACAACAAGTAATTAAAGAAGTGGTTTAAGAAAAAGAATAAAAGTCACTGGGTTAGGTGGCTCATGCCTGTAACCCCAGCACTTTGGGAGGCCAAGGTGGGTGGATCACCTGAGGTCAGGAGTTTGAGACCAGCCTGGTGAAACCTCATCTCTACTAAAAATGCAAAAATTAGCCTGGTGCGGTGGTGGGTGCCTGTAATCCAAGCTACTCGGGAGGCTGAGGCAGGAGAATCGCTTGAACCCAGGAGCTGGAGGTTGCAGTGAGCCGAGATCGTGCCACTGTGCTGTAGCCTGGACAACAGAGTGAGACGTCATCTCAAAAAAAGAAAAAAAGAATAAAATCTTTCAGAGGACTTTATGGGAAGCCCAAGAGATAGCTTCTGATTCTTTTCTCTTTTTTAAATTGACAAATAATTGTACATATTCTTGGGGTACATAGTGATGTTTCAGTACATATACTATATAGGGATCAGATCAGGCTAATTAGCGTATCTGTCATCTTAAACTTATTTTTCACTTCTTCTGTTTGGAATGTTCAATATCTTCCTTCCAGCTGTTTGAAACTATATATTACTGTTAACTATAATCATCCTATAGTGGTATAGAACACTATAATTTATTCCTCCTATCTAGGTGTAATTTTGTATTCTTTATCAAATCTCCCTATCTCTCCCTTCTCCCTAACCTTTCCGGCCTCTAGTATTCTCTGTTCTATTTTTAATTTCTATGAAATCAACTTATTTTTAGCTTCCATATATGAATGAGAACATGCAGCGTTTAACTTTCTGTTCCTGGCTTATTTCACTTAACATAATATCCTCCAGTTGCATTTATGTTGCCACAAATGACAGGATACCATTCTTTTTCTGGCTAGATAGTATTCCATGTTGCATACATACCACATTTTCTTTATCCATTTATCTGTTGTTGGCCACCTAGGTTGATTCCATATTTTGGCTGTTGTGAGTAATGCTGTAGTAAGCATGGATGTGCAGATTTCTCTTCAGTGTGATTTCCTTTCCTTTGAATAAATTCCCAGTAGTGGGATTGCTGGATGATATGGTAGTTCTATTTGTAGTTTTTTGAGGAACTCCCATCCTGTTCTCTACAATGGTTGTACTAGGTTACGTTCTCACTAACAGTGTACAAGAGTTCTCCTTTTCCTGCATCCTTGCCAGCATGTGTTATTTTTTTATCTTTTAAATAATAGCCATCCCAACTGGGGTGAGATGATACCTCACTGCCATTTTGGTGTGAATTTCCCTGATGATTAGTGTATTTTAATGTATTTCTTTGGCCATTTGCATGTCTTCTTTTGAGAAATAGCCAGATCATTTGCCTATTTTTTGTTTTCTTTTTTGAGATAGGATCTTACTCTGTCTCTTGTGCTGGAGTGCAGTGGTATGATCACAGTTCACTGCAGCCTTGACCTCCTGGGCTCAGGTGATTCTCTCACCTCAGCCTTCTGAGTAGCTGGAACTATAGGCACATGCCACCACACCCAGCTAATTATTTGTATTTTTTGTAGAGACAAGGTTTCACCACATTGGTCAGGCTGTTCTTGAACTCCTGGATTCAAGCAATCCTCCAACCTTCACCTCCCAAAGTTTATTTGCCCATTTAAAAATCAGAGTGTTTAGGGGGTTTGCTGTTAATGAGGTTTTTAGTTTCTTTTGTATTTGGGATACTAATCCCCTGTCGCATGAGTAGTTTGCAAATACTTCCTGCCGTTCTGTATGTTGTCTTTTCACTCTGTCGATTGTTTCCTTTACTGTCCAAAAGATTTTTGGTTAATATAAGCTAATTTGTTTATTTTTGTTTTTGTTGCCTGTGTTTTTGAGGTCCTATTCATAAAATCGTTTCCAACACCAATGTCCTGAAGTGTTTTTCCTGCCTTCTTCTAGTAGTTTTATTGTTTCAGGTCTTAGATTGAGGTCTTCAAGTTGTGTCTTATATAGAGTGAGCGGGAGGGTTTTGTTTCATTCATCTTCATATGGATATCTAGTTTTCCCCAGCACCATTTATTGAAGAGACTGTGCTTTCCCCAATGAGTGTTCTTGGCACTTTTGTCAAAAATCCATTGGCTGTAGATATGTGGATTAATTTTTGGATTCTCTATTCTGTTCTGTTGGCCTATGTGTCTGTTATTATGCCGGTATCATGCTGTTTTTGCTACTACATCTTCATGTAGTGTATTTTAAAGTTGTTAACGTAATACCTCCACCTTTGTTCTTTTTGCTCAGGATTGTTTTGACTATTCAGGGTATTTTGTAGTTCCATACAAGATTTAGGATTTTTTTTCTATGTTTGTGAAGAATGCCATTTGTATTTTGATAGGGATTACATTGAATCTGTAGATTTCTTTGGGTAATATTCTCATTTAAATAATATTAATTCTTCCAATCCATGAGCATGGGATGTCTGTTGTATTCTTTGTATCTTCTTCCATTTTTTCATCAGTGTTTTGTAATTTTCCCTGTAGAGGTCTTTAACTCCCTTAGTTAAATCTGTTACAAGATACTTCTTTTTGTAGCTAATGTTAATGAGATTGACTTCTCCATTTCTTTTTTTAGCTAGTTCTTTGTTCATATATAAAAATGCTACTGATTTTTAATATTAATTTTGTGTCCTGTAACTTTTCTGAATTCATTTATCAATTCTAAGAGGGTCTTTTTTTTTTTTTTTTGGTAGAGTCTTTAGGTTTTTCTAGATATGAGATCACACTTTATTTTTATTTTTATTTTTTATTTTTGAGGTGGAGTCCCACTCTGTCACCCAGGCTGGAGTGCAGTGGTGCGATCTCGGCTTACTGCAACCTCTGCCTCCCAGGTTCAAGCAATTCTCCTGCCTCAGCCTCAGCCTCCCGAGTAGCTGGGACTACAGGTGCACACCACCATGTCCGGCTAATTTTTTTTTTTTTTTTTTGGATTTTTAGTAGAGACGGTGTTTCACTGTATAGGCCAGGCTGGTCTTGAACTGCTGACCACAAGTGAGCCCACCTCAGCCTCCCAGAGAGTTGATTACAGATGTGAGCCACCATGCCCAGCCCACACTCATTTTTTTTTAATTTTTTTTTTAATTTCCATATGGCATGTGATATTTAAGGCTTGTTTTTTTTTTTCTTTTTTTCTTTCTTTCTTTCTTTTTTTTTCTTTTTTTTTTTTTCAAAAAGATGGGGTTTCACCATGATGGCTAGGCTGGTCTTGAACTCCTGACCTCTGGTGATCTACCCAACTTGGCCTCCCAAAGTGCTAGGATTACAGGTGTGAGCTACTGTGCCCAGCCAAGGCTTGTTTGAAGAGAAATTAACTTTTAAAGTCTTTGAACTGAATTTTCAGTTGAAATTTCATAATGGTTTTACATTGTGCATTAACTATGCTTATTATACTGGGAAACCCACCTAATCATCTGGTGAGGAAAAATTTCTTTGAAGGAGACATTAAATTAGCCAATATCAAGTTAGTGATATTTTCCTGAAGAATGAATTAAAATTTAGTGATCACTTGTGATTTTCAAAATAGCTGGTAATAAACTTTTATTAAATTTGGGCCAAGAAAGCCCAAAAGAGGATAGTAGGGTTCCTACCATACTAATGTTAAATAGGAAATCCCAAGTTCCTATGGAGGAAAAGTTGCTTGAGAAGGTTACTGGTTTCTACTCTGAAATGGTTATAAAAAGAAGTGAGAGGGTGATAAGTAAGGAAAACATCTTTCATTAATGTCCATCATAACATAACATCCATCATACATAATGGATTTTGTAAACTATAAAGATCTGTTGAAATAGTATTTGGGCACCGTGGTTCCCACCTGTAATCCCAGCACTTTGGGGGAGGCTGATGTGGGTAGTTCACTTGCATCAGGAGTTCCAGAGCAAGGCTCTGTCTCAAAAAAAAGAAAAGAGGCCAGGTGTGGTAGCTCACACCTATAATCCCAGCACTTTGGGAGACCAAGGCAGGTGGATCACCTGAGGTCAAGAGTTCATGGCCAACATGTTGAAACCCCCTCTCTACTAAAAATACAAAAATTAGCCAGACATGGTGGCGTGCATCTATAAT